GGTCTTTCTCGGCCAGGGTGGCAGCACCGCCTCAGTCTCCCTGCCAAGGCTGGAGCTGTGAGGGGTGGAGAGAGAGAGAGACGAAGCACAGCTGATCGGCGGTTCCAGCGAGTTTTTAAGCCCATAGGAATGCATTAAACATGTTTTAATGAGTTTCTGTGGGCTTTTTAAAATCGCTTAGCGATAAAATCGCTTAGCAACATTTTTTCTTGCGCGGATTAACGTCGCTAAGCGAGGCACCACTGTATTTATCTACTCGCATTTGCATAGTTTCGAACTGCTAGGTTGGCGAGGAGGTGGAACAAAGCTATGGAAGCTCATTCCGTCGTGTGGATTTGATCTTACGACTGCTAGACTTCTGACCCTGCAGCACAGAGGTTTCTGCGGTTTAGCCCGCAGCACCACCACGTCCCTGAACTAGACTACCTGATGCTTAATATCCAAAATATTTCACAGCAGTTTTTAAACTGATCCCAATCGGATCTGGCAGGACCTTGGGAACTTCTGTTTAGCAAAGTATCATCCCTAGGTTATAAAGGTAAAAAAGAAATTAGATTGCTCAGATTGAAATGACATGGGAAAAAGTCATGGTCACCAGTCAGAGAAAGGGACAGCTCTGTGCTAATGCTAGAAGCTTCTGAGACAAGATGGGAGAGTTGGTTTTAAAAGAGAAAATAGATGCAGCACAAAGTGGAGGGTGATCCATCAGAGTAAGGGCAGGCACTGTCTCCCTATCTCCTGATTCAGGCTACCCTTTCAGTTTGTATGGGGCAGCAGCCACCTTCCACCATGTAATGACTAGTTATGGAATCAGTCTATGAGCACATGCCTGTTCACATAAGTAGCATTATTATTTTCAGCCCCTCATGGGAAACACAGTTGCAGTATGTTCAGCAGGTGCTACATGAACTCCACAGCTGGGTCTCCCAGCCAAACAGAAGAAATGCAAAATGGCTCTGAGGTGGGTGAAGTACCTAGGATTGGCAGGCAGTGGTAAGGTAAGGCTTTTAGAGACAAAGTGGAAGAGGTCTCTCTGTGCCCACATTCTCAGATCAAAACACAAATACAGTAATTCCTGGTTTTAGCCAGGTATTACTAGCATTTCGTCCATTATTTGCCAAACTAGCTGTTCCTTCATCTGATTTGAAAAAGAAAAGAGGGTCTAAAGCAGTTGGGTGGGATGACATGGAGGAGAGAGTATTTGTCTGGTCGAAAGCTGCCCTCTGTGATGTCCCGGTGAACACCAAACTTTTCAGATCCCTTCAACTTCTAGGCAGAATCCTTTGAGAGGGGTTAGGAGCTTCCTGGGTCACAATTAGGAAAGGCAGAATATCCCATCCTTTTTTCAGCTGCAGACTGTCTTTAAGCAAGAAGATGTATGTGGCCATGAAATGAGAATCATAGAAAAGTGAAGTTGGAAGGGGCCTACAAGACCATCAAGTCCAACCGCCTGCTCAGTGCAGGAATACAATCAAAGCATATCTACCAGGTGATTGTCTAAGTTTTTCTTGAACACCTCCAGTGTTCGCGCATTCACCAACTTCCGAGGTAAATGGTTCCATTGTCGTACTGCTCTAAGAGTTAGGAGGTTTTTCCTGATACAGTGGTGCCCCACATAGCGAGGTTCATCCGTTCTGGATTAACCATTGCTATTCGGAAACATCGCTAAACGGAATAAAAAACCCCATTAAAACGAAGTTTAATGCGTTCCAATGGGCCCCAAACTCACTGTTCAGCGATGTTCCTCCATAGCGCAGGCATTTCCGCGCCCTCGGTAAGTGATGGCAGGGTGCGAAAACGCTGCGCGCAGCCATTTTGGGTCTTCCGGCGGCGATTTTGGAACCGCCGATCAGCTGTTCCCCCAACATCGCAATGCGAAGATCGGTAAGCGAAACGCTTACCGATCATCGCAAAGCGATTTTTGCCCATTGGAACCATCGATATGCGATCGCATTAGCAATCCCAAAAAACGGATCGCTATGCGAATTCGTCGTTAAACAGTGCGCCCGTTATGCGAGGCACCACTGTATTCAACTAAATTCTGGCTTCCTTTAACTTGAGCCCATTGTTGCGTGTCCTGCACTCTGGGATGATCGAGAACAGATCCTGCCCCTCCTCTGTATGACAGCCTTTCAAATATTTGAAAAGTGGTATCATATCATCCCTCAGTCTTCTTTTCTCAAGGCTAAACATGCCCAGTTTTTTCAGCCTTTCCTCATAAGGCTTGGTTTCCAGCCCCTTGATCACCCTTGTCGCCCTCCTCTGAACTTTTTTCAAATTTGTTAGCCTCCTTCTTGAAGTGTGGTGTCCAGAACTGGACACAATACTCAAGGTGAGGCCTAACCAATGCTGAATAGAGGGGGATTAGCACCTTGCGGGATTTGGAAACTATACTTCTATTAATGCAACCTAAAATAGCATTTAATGGAGTAGACCTCATAGTCAGCAAAAGAGTGGGAAAAGCTGTACTGGGATACAATCTCAAAAATAACAGAATGATTTCAATACGAATCCAAGGCAGACCTTTCAACATCACAGTACTCCACATTTATGTGCCAACCACCAATGCTGAAGAGGCTGAAATTGACAGATTCTGTGAAGACTTACAACACCTTCTAGAACTGACACCAAAGAAAGATGTTCTTGTCATTATAGGGGACTGGAATACTAAACTAGGGAGTCAAGAGATAAAAGGAACAACAGGTAAGTTTGGCCTTGGAGTTCAAAACAGCAGGGCAAAGGCTAATAGAGTTTTGTCAAGAGAACAAGCTGGTCATC